TATATATATATATATATATATATATATATATATAGAAATCTCTTTGTTGTCTTGATTGAGAGCTGTCCTTTTCTTTGCGTCCTTTCAGATTCCTTTCTTCTTTTACCGAGAGGAAGCTTTTCATTCCCCACGGGGTTTGTGTCTTTGTGATGTCAGCTAAGAAGTTGAGGGAGATTGTGAACGTATTCATGTTGCATGAGTTTGAAGCTTAAGACTGCGGTGTTTGAGGCTATCCCAATGCCGTTTTTTTTCGATCCGACAATCACCTATAGGGAGGCCTTAGAAAATGAAGCTCTGAACTTTCCTATGGAGGGCGAGATGTGCTGCTATTTCGACCAACTTGTTTTAGGTCGGCGCTTTTCGTTAAGCTGGGAAATGGAGGAGATTCTCTGTTTCTTTGGATTAGTTTTAGCACAGATTCACCCTAGATCCATTTCCTTGATCATGATGTTCATCGCGTTCCTTCCATGACACAATCTCTCCTGCTCAACATAGTTGTTCCGTTCGGTGACTACCCCTAAGGTATGCAAAGAGGGTATGTTGATCTTCTCGTCGTCGTGAATAACCTTTGTGGGGTTGGAAAATAAGATCAGTTTTGTGGAAAGATAAATTCTTCTTTGTATATAAGGAAGAATGGGATATCTCTGATAAGCCACACTTCACAGCTTCGCTTCCCTCATTCCTCGAGTTTGAGTTACCTGATGTCGAACATTTGGGCTTCCTAACTCTAAAGGGGCAAGAATTGGATGTGAGGCATTTTACCATAACAAAGGTTATTTAGAAAGCACTTTGCTGTAAACCCTTTTGTAGGACCATTATATTTTTTCTCAATTTGATCTTTGTGAGTTTGCTCTTTTTCATTCTAAATTTTAGGCTTCCAATGGCGATGACCGAAGAATGGTTGAAGCGTTTGGAGATCTTGGAGGAAAGAGATAAATCCCGATCTAATGCTGTTCAGAGTATGTGAGTAGTTGTTATTGTTAATGAGGGTGAGGAGGATGAGGAGACTGGGCCCGTGTTTGCACCCGTGATAGAAATTTTACTTTTAAAAGCGTCGAAGGCCGCTGTTGAAGCCTCGACAATGCTTTAACTAGAATTTTTAATATCGGCTTCAAGTTCCCGCCCTTAGGGAGATAAGGGAAAATGAGTGGTGAGCAAAGAAACTCCTGTTCGACCTCCCTGGAAAGAACCTCCGTTGAAACACCGTAAGGCGGATTCGACCGCAACTACTTCCCCGTCCAATACCACGTCTTCGTCATCTGAAACGCCAAAGTGGGAGGAATTCGATATGAAGGGAGAAGTATGCCTTGTTAATGAAAGCGAAGTTAAAGGCGATAGTAGATTGAAGGTCTAGATGACGAAGAAGGTTTTTCTGAGATCCCGTATAAGATGGGATCGATAATATGCTCTCCCTTGTTGGTGAAGCAAATGCAGGTTGCTCGCCACCTGCTGCACCTTCTTGTCATATAGCATATGGCGAATTTTTGGCAGGCCACTTACATGATATGCCAATCCCATCAACAGTTAGCCTGCAAACATCTAGCCTTACAATCAACTTATAGAGCAAGAAAGCAAAGAATAAATCCTTTAAGGCAAAGGTTAAAAAGCTTTCTGAAAAGAGGCTCCTAGCAAAGGTACAACGCTGAGAATGAAGAGCTTCAGAAAAAGATCGATGACTTAAAAGAAGCCCTAAATGTTAAATCAATTCTCTTCGAGGAAGAAACCGGGAATCAATTAGTATTAGGATCCGGAATTGTCAAATTGTGAGGATCTTTAAACAATAAGAAGACGAAAGAAGAATTTCTCAAAGTGCTCGCCCATACGCCTGAATATGTG